AGCGACGGTCCAACTGTCGGTAGTCGCGTCCTCAAGGGACCCAGGCACATCTAAAGGGCAGAAGGTATTACCTGCAAATAGTTTGATCCAGCCGACTGTGCGGGCACTGTGGACTGATTAGGCCGCACTTTGGTACCCGAGGAGAGAAGTTCACCTAAAATCCGGGCAGTCAGTTGATCAACAAGGGTCCGCAGCTCTTGGCTGCTGCCCTCCTCTTGCTCCAAGTCTTCGGGAAGGCAGAGCTCGTAGAGGGGATTGTCCCAACGGGAAGAAGGATTTGGCCTTTCGAAACGAGTGACCAGTTCGGAGAAGACTGCCTCCGGATAGCGACCCAGCTGCAATAAGGAGAAGTATGATGAAAGCGTTCACTAGGATAATTCTATCATCATTACAACGCTCACTATTTAATAAAATGAGTTAATGTCTCATCCCAGATCTTTGGAGTATTTGTAGTGGATAAAAAACTTCTAGCCAACGTATAAGGCTGGCAAAGTAATTTTCGCTGGATTTATCACCTCAGCGAAAGTTAAGTAGTTACCTTAAGAGTGCTTAGTAAACGTTTCCGGAAACCTGACTAGAAGTCGACCCAGAAAGAAACCTGGGTAACTTTATCCTGCATCATGAAAATGACCCGGCCCACGAGAGTTCAGAACCTGTTGGGTTGACCACAACATCCGGAGTTGATCTGTTACAGCCCCTTACATACTGGTCCGGTATTGTTTTTGTAGATAAGGTCAGTTTTTAAAGGTTACGGCTGAAACGCGTGTTTTAAACGGCTGAAGGAATCCTTCATGCCGTTCATAATGGGCTGGATTTGTCGGCAAAGGCCATTTTTAAGTAAAGCTGTAATCCTTAGATTCATGTACTCGAAGTATACATTTACTTATGGGAAAGAATGCGGGGAAGTAATATGGGTAGGATAACTATATGGCACCCGCAGGACATAGGAAAAGGAACCGTCCATAATGCAGATGGCTCTACGCTAACTTACAGGGCATGGGAATATTTAATACCCCAGGAATTTAGTGAAGGCCATCCGTATTACGCGGGGAACATTCCTATTATAGAGTCCTGTCGGAGGACACATAAGTAATTCCGCTGACAGAAATCACGGGAAAACGTTAGAAAATGTATCGGACGGTTAAGCGTTGTGATTCCTTACGGAATTTACTAGATCATTATTGATATAACCGCTCTCATCCAACATTTGGTGGGTTGGGGCGCCCGAGAACGGAGGATTCTTCTCACACACGCGGAAGCCGGAAGGTTAGATATAAGGAGCGCACCCACTTAGCGTAATGCAGGTGAAAGCACGCATCGATAAAACATTGAGTAGTTTTGGCGGATAATGTGACTGTCTTCCAGGCTCGATTATTCTGAACGCCTTGGAAGCAGTAAGCTGAGTCTGTTCTTTCAGTTCATCCAGCGATGGTGAAATCTGTCTTCTCAATAGACATGGAATTGTGACAACAGTAGCTTATGTAGCCCCACTCATTAATCCCTAAAACCTGCATGTTTTCCTAGGGAAATGGTGTTTATCGGGTCTTATGGGCGGGAAATTAGGACACTCAGTGGGATATGCTTTAATAAAGGCTAAATGCGTTTTTATTTTACTGTATTTAGAAGTGTTTTTGATTTATATCTTTAGATCTTCCTAATCTGTATTATCATTTAACTTATTGCGGAAAAACCCGATT